GAAACCTCGGGGAAGAGCAGACGTCAAACCTCGTGCTGCTCATATTGAGAGGTGACCATATCGCATCAGTGAAAGTCAAATCCATCAAGGAAGCTGGGGGACCCTTGCCACGCCAGCCACGCCTCGTTCGCGGGCTTCATTTCACCCCTCTGAAATTTGCTCTGTGGGGCAACTTCAATTCTACAGAATTGAAATCCTTTGATACGGCAATCTTCGCGTCATTGGCTGATGTAGATGTATCCTGGCGGCGACCGGTGGCTATAGAAATGCAGTCGAGAAAGGGGGTTTTGGGTGAGACCAAACTTTACCATCTCATTGGCTAGTAAAATCGCGGGACATCACCACTTCAACTGCCTCCGGCAACAACTTTACTGGATCCGATACAGCAATGTGCCCTGAGCCCAGGGGTGGCGACACCAGAGCAGTTGCAATCCTGGACACTATTGAACCCATGCAAACAACAGGTATATATGCCAAAAACTGGAAGGGAAAAAAGCAACCAAAAAGTGAGTGTTAAACCCAAACGATTTCTCTAAATCCGTTATGACTAAAGTGTCCCTGAACTGATGTTTTTGAAGCTGCGATAGCCTATTAGTGCCCAAATAGGACTAGTGTCGTAGCATTGACAGCGAGATGGACCTCAGTCGAAATGGGATTTGCAGTAGAACTCGTCATCTGCGAATTTTCCAATTCAGGAAACGGAATCATAAGTACTATATGAATTCTATCTCTCCTTGACAGCGGATGACTCACGAGAAATGACGGCGTCAAACCAACCAAAGACAGTCCTGATCACTGGGTGCAGCGAAGGCGGCATTGGCGATGCTCTCGCTCAGGAGTTCCATCGGCGGGGACTACGTGTCTTCGCCTCCGCAAGGAATCTAGACAAGATCAAGCATCTCAAGGAGGCCGGAATTCAAGTTTTGCGGCTGGATGTTCAGGACAAGACATCAATTGAGGCTGCTGTGGAGGAACTTTCAGAAGCCACGGGAGGGACCCTGGATATACTCGTCAACAACTCGGGCGTTGGTTACATGATGCCGCTTTTGGATGCGGATATCGACGAGGCGCGCAAGCTGTTTGACGTCAATATCTGGGGCACGCTGGCTGTTACTCAGGCTTGTGCGCCCCTGCTCCGGGCTACCGCCGATAGAGACCTGCCGGCGCGCATTGTCAATATCGGATCCGTCACGTCGCGCATGCAAGTCCCATGGCAGGTGAGACAACGGACCTACTCTCATTATATAGCCTACGGGTCTTTCAGAGCAGAAATTAAAGGGGGCATCAACCGGAAGAGGTCTTCGCTAAACTCTTCTTCTCGAACAGGGTGTCTACAACGCAAGCAAAGCGGCGCTCCACATGCTTAACGACACAATGCGCATAGAATTTGCGTCTCTCAACATCGAGGTTCTCCATGTCGTCACTGGCGGAATCGCGACTAAATTCTTCAACAATGCCTCCGGAGCCGTCCTCCCAGAAGACAGCGCGTACGCTGAGGCACGGGATGTCATTGAGTCCGACGTCGCGGGGCACGCGGGCATCAAGTCTCAGACGATGTCGCCGGAGAAGTATGCTGAGATCGTCGTCTCCAATACGCTTAGTCGGTGGCCGACTAAATCGCTCTGGGTCGGAGGAAGAGCAAATTTGAGCTGGCTAGGAGATCGCTTCTTGACACCTGCGATTAGTGATTGGATTATCTCGAATTACATGGGATGGTCGATGGGTGCGCTGAAGAAGAGGTTGCGGGAGCTTAGGACGAAGGGCCAGGGGAAGTAAGGTTGGACGGATACGATCCCCTTGCAGAAGTCCCCATCCCCACATCGTGACCGTACTATTAATAATGCACATACTCCATCACGGCTCATCTCGGATCACATGAAAGTTTCACCTTGCAGAAATTAATCCATAATGTAAAGCAGCCGTATGATTCGGTATCTATTGTATACGGTTTATATCTGGGTTCTGACTAGATAACTACCCGGTTGAAGGGAAAACGAAAAGGGAGTACGACGAGCGCCTGGACACCAGAACAACTCCCATCACTATACGTGTCTCTATTTCCCTTTATCGACTTTCTGAAATCTCAACTCCTCATCCAGTAAAGAAACCGAAGAGCGACGGGGCCCCTATCAGGCGAGTGAAGGCCCAGAAGTGCTCACTGAGTAACGAATAACGCGATCGCGTTGCTCGAGGGTGGGCAGCTGATCTGCTCATTGATCTGGACGTTGCCGTTGACAGCATTCTTGACGCCCTGCTCGATGAGCGCGTAGATGTCACCAGTCCCAATGCTATCATTCGGGGTAACAGAAAGTCAACATTTTTTGTTCATTTGGGGTTTTCATCCTTCTCGGACCCAAAGGGAAACGAGCTTCTTAGAAATCATGATAGGTATGACTCACTTAGTCGTGATGTCCACGAAAGCCGTGGCATAGACTTTGCATGATAGGTAGGAGTAGATCTCGTACTGGGGGAGTGGGTTGTTGGGCGCAGCCCACTCGTCGAACTGCCAGTAGCCCCTCATGGCCAGAAGATCGTTCATGGCCGCTTTGCAGTCGGCGACGGTGCCTCCAATGCCACCGCCTGGGATCCACTTATCGAAGGTGCACTGTTCCTCTGGATCAGAAAGCCTAATTTTTGCCGCCAGATATGTCTGAGAGCCGTAGGGCTCGAGTTGTAGAGAAAGGCCGAAGGAAAGGGAGAGCAGGGGAGTAGATAAGACAAATGAGAGAAGCAGGAAAGAAAGTAGATTGTTCGAAGACAGACCAAAATATGACTTACGAGGAACTCGACCTCACCAGTATGGATCCAAGTCTGGTGGAAAAGCTCAGTTGCGTTAACAGAGCTCGAGCCGTCGACGTCGGTGGCCCGGATGACAGTAGCTACGACACCCTGGAGGGCGAGGCAGAGGGCAGAGATGATCATGAAGACCTTGGTGAAGAAAGAAGACATCATGGTGACTTGATTGAGTGCTGATGTATTGTGTTTATGAGGCAAAGGGGCTGTGATGATGATATATCTCCTTGGTGATGATTTGCTAAGCTGGGTCCAGGTTGAGATCGGTAAAGGGGTCAGGACAAGAGATAGAGGTGGCCGAGCAGCCTAAGCACTTATAAAAAGCATGCTGTGAGGATTCAATGTTAATGATGGTCACTTAGTAAACGGGATGACGGGAAGGTTGATAATGAATGCCCCTTGCTGCTTCATCGTCTCCTTTCAATCATTGGATGGGATGAGAATTCATTTGACGGTACAATAGCAATGCGCAGCGTGACTAGTCCATGCCTACCTATACTGCTCATCTGTATAGGGTTCGATGCTCGTATTGCTTATAGCGTTGCTGTCATCACAAGTATAAGCATGACTACATTGCCAACAAGTAGAGAAACCTGCCATTAGTATCATCCTCCTGCAAGATGATTTACTCTGTCTATTGTCAATCCATAGGCTCCTGACTGTAAGTATTGTGTAGCCGATTAGTTAGTCGATACGCGATACACTACCTCCGAATTTAAGTACCTCCAGTCCTTTCATGGAAATCTATGTGAACCTAGAATTGCCAACTAATTTTTGAATTCTATTCCTTATGATGTTTGACGTTGCACGGGACAAGCACATGATCTGTGTGCAATACTCTAATGCGACAGTGGGTAACTCTCCTAGTGATAGATACTTGCTCTTCACTACCTTGGCTCTAAGAAGAGCCTCATGATTATTAATAAATGTCGTCTTGAATGTGAGGGGAAAGAAATCGAAACACCTTTCTATAATTATAAAGTACTGTGGGGGCAGATAGAGAGGGCTTAGATCAGCATGTATTGAAATGACATGTCTATCGCTGCATCATAGGGTCCCTGACATAATGTACAGACAGCATGGCGCTTACAGAGGAGAGAAATGTCTTCTAAAGTATTGTATATCAAAAGGACATGGTGCTTCGCAGGGAAAGCTAGACTTAGGTCTTAACAAGACCTCTCTAAGTCGATGTTTCTTTGGTCTCGTTGCCGTCTTCTTCACCTTTCCACCAGCGCCAGGCAGCTTTGCACCAGAATATCGTCTCCATAGTTCCGATGATAGTGATAGCAGTGTAGACGACGATCTTGGTGGTACGGTTCATCCCTAGATCCCTGAAGTCTATCTTGAAATCATCTGGGGTTGGCTCTCCTTTGTTTGGTGATCCAGTAGGTCGTGGAGCTTCGGACGATGGTTTCTTATTGGGTGAGGTTGTCGAAGACAGAAGCCGAGAGCCTGCGAGAGGCAGTCGGATTTCTCTCCACATTGGGCCAGATCGGATCGTATATCTGCGGGTTTGTGTTGAGACTATATGAGAGTAATGATAGTAGGGGCTCATGCGTTTAAGTGAAGCTAGTCTTAGACGGCAGCTAGACTTTACGTTTTCGGCAAGGATACTAGACATGTTTATAGAAGAGCAGTAAGAAAGGATCTGAGGAGAAAAGAACGAGCTTAGAAAGTTGCAATATACCAACTAGACTCATCTTTAAGTACTCGTCGAAGAGCTGTCAAACAATCGCACCGTGCGTGGTAGGACTTGATATAGAACAGTGAAAGAAGCCTTGTCGCTGATTGGACATGAATACGCCGTATTCGAAATGCGGGCCTGGTGGTAGCTTAGTTATAACGAAACATCGACGTCTATGCTAGCAGTTTATTATGACAACCGTGAGGATAGGTTGAATTGCTAGACTGGTAAGTCAGAGAAACAAAAAAATACATAATTATGAATCTTCTGCTCTAGCTAGCCACATATCTGTCTGTTGGTAAGCTAAGCGATGCTCTTCTCCCTTGTTCATGTATATGGCAATGGATACTTACTTGTCCAAGTTGCAACAACTGGTTAGTTACATCTAGCTGCTTAACTCATCTTATAGCTCCCAGTCCATTTGATAAAAACACTGAAATAAAGTGAGGCTAAAACAAAAAAACATGATTCAAATTGAAGGGGGGGAAAAAAAGAATAGAATCAAAAATAGCAAAAAAAAAGGTGCACTGACCGAGACTCGAACTCGGTGCCTAAGCAGGCTATCAAATTCTCAATGAATTGAGGAATGGGAAGCTTAGATGTTACCCTTACACCATCAGTGCTATCTACGGCTCGTGTGCGAGACCGTCCATTCCGATAGTGGAGAACGGTATAATCAGCCGTTATATTGTTTTGGTAAATCAGACAAGGTGTTGTTACAGCCAGCACCTTTGTTCGGCAGCCTGGAGCCTCTGGGGGGTTCTGTATCGCAGCACCTGAGTGAGGGGCAACCGGTAAAGAGGGGTTCTGGGGTGTGACGTTATTAATACAGTACCAGCGGAGCTATGTACGAAATACCAAATTCAAGGCTGAAATGCAGTGGAGAAAACCAGTACCACAGAATATCTCTATTAGGTACTGCAAAAGGCCCCACCACGCTTTGTGGCTTCCAGGTGTTTGCTACGGCGAATTACCCCACCATGCTCTCTCACCCAAGAATAGGTAGAATTGTAGAGAAAGCTGATCGTCCGTCCGTATCACAAACCAACAACAATTGGACCTTTTATTATTCTGCCCCATCCATACCTGCATGCAACCCTAAACAAACAAACAAACCACTCACGACGAGAAAAGCCACAGACATGAGCAGCAAGAGCAGCGGCAAGATCGACAAGATCATCGCCCGCCTCCAGCAGCGAATCAGCGAGGGCCAGTTCTACGAGGCCCAACAGCAGACCCGCGTCGTCGCCGCCCGCTACACCAAGCAAGCCAACTGGTCCGACGCCATCGACATCCTCTACAATGTCGCCCAGTCCCTGCTGAAGGCCGGCCAGGGCGGCAGCGGCGGCGACCTCTGCGTCTTGCTCGTCGATACTTATAAGCAGGCTGAGCTCAAGCCTGATGCCGCTAACAAGGGGAAGCTCCTCACGTGTCTGCGGTTGTTCAATAGCGAAGAGCCTACGCGGAAGAAGTTCATCGGCGAGATAATAGCGTACGTATACTAGCATCTCTACACTTGCTCCTTTCAATCGAATTACGTCCTTGAGCGTTGGTGCTAGGCAATAGAAGCCACGGAGACCAACACTGATCTATGCAGTATGTGCTAACACTATGTTCTTACAGATGGTCCTCAAAATTCGGTGACTACCCCGCCGGCGACCCCGAGTTCCACCACGTTGCCGGATCTCTCTATGCAGATGAGGGCGAGGCTTACGATGCCGAGAAACATCTCATACTGGGCACCAAGGATTCTGCCGAGGTGCTCGCCCGCATGGAGTACAAATGGTTCAAGGAGGATGACCCCCATACTGCCGCTACATATGCCGGCCGAGCCGTACTCCCCTACTTGATATCCGCCAACGTCCGCGCCGCAAACACCTCCTACCGCATCTTCACCACCGCGCTCAACGAAGACAATCCGGGAAAACTCGGTGTCCAGGACGTCAGCAGCAACAGTGCCGATTTGCGCGTCTACCCCAGCATACCACTACTCAACTTCCTCGGCCTCTTACTACTTGCCATTCAGCGGAGTAGCCCAGAGCTCTACCGACAGCTGGTGACGAAATACTCGAGCCATTTGAAAGATCTCGACATGTGGAACGAGGCGCTCGAGATGATTGCTGAGATGTACTTTGGTATCCAGAAGCCCCGGCAGAGCAATCCCTTAATGGATATGATGAGCGGTTTCTTCGGTGGTGGGGGAGCCCCTGGGAGCGGGAGCTCGAAAAAGCCTGCAATCAAGGGTCCCACGCCTATGCCGGCCGCCGAGGGTCTGGACTGATTCATGGTTTGATGCAGAGCAACAGTATCATCGACTAGGATAGAGGATCCAACAGAGAATAGATGCTGGTAATGGTGTAACATTCATAGGGATGGATTCGAGTTCAGTGGACGGGGACCTGTTCTTCGGCTTCGTACATCCAGTTGTCTTCGGATAGTGCAGCGACTTTGGCTCTCATGCTGGCGCGCAGTGTCTCTAGAACCTCTTTTGATGATGTCAGCTTGAATTCGCATAACGTGATGCGTGCTTCTCGGTATCTACCTACCTTCAGGCTGTGCAGGCATGCGCGTGTGGTTTATTTGGTGGTGTCGGACGGCTTCGGCCAGCTTGTGTCGTTCTCCTGCACGCAGTACATTGTCAGATTAGCACTTGGGACTTGCATTGAAGAGTAAAATATTCTTGCTCCAGGAAGGAAACAAGATCCAAATAACTAGTAAAAGTACCTACGTTCATTCTCCTGCGCATCGTCAAGCGCAACCTCCTCATCGGGCTCATCAAGCGGCGGCGTAGGGGGGTCGCCGACTTCGTACTCGCCATTCTTGTCGCGGATAACAATCTCAGAGGTATCGGAGAGGACGTCGACGGTATCCAAGCGTAATGTGTCGGCGGAGTTGGTCGAGGAAGAAGACGGTAGTCCGTGGTGGTGCGTGGATGATGATAGTGTCGTTGCCGAACCGGCACCCGAACTGCCGCCGCCGCCGCCGCCGCGTTCGCTGCTGCTGCCCGTTGAGCCGGTCGAGGTTGGACGCCGCGTCAGGTGGCTTTGGAAGAGATTGCGGCGCACGCCACCGGTTGTGTTGCTGGTAGCGGCGCGCGTTAAGCGATTTGTGCCGGGGCGCGGGAGGTTTGGAGGGGGACCACCACCGCCTCGAGGGTCGGCCATTGTGGTGTTGTGAGGTAATGTTACTTCGGTTGGCGAGTGGATAGTAGGGCGCAGTAATTAGAAGAGATCTTTGGGCCCTTTTGGATTTGATTGGCGCACTATGATCCAGGGGCTCTGTTCTTTCTTATGGATTAGTTGTATTAAGAAATAATGGGTTGCTTGAGGTGTATGAGTCGTGAGGAAGTTTGGGGTTTGCGCCGCGACGACGGGTAGGGAAAGGTGGGATGGCAAGGATGTGAGCTTGTGAATCTTGGTGGATCTGGGGGATTGTTGGGGGAGCTACAACCAGTGTACAGGACTTGTCTTTTTACCTGGCGACCTGATTGCAATGCATTAATAAGTCGGTTTCGGCCTGCATGTTATTAGCATTGCTAAAAACATGTACCTATGGGTTTGAGCTTAAGATTCAAACATTCTAATTCGAGAATGAGCATAAACACATTTGTATATGATAGTTGTAGTTCAATGGCCGCGATTGTTGACCGTATTTGTTAGATACCTACCTACCTGCCTCCTGGGAATGCCTGACGGCAGTAAACTTGACCTATCGCCCCTCCAACATCGCCAAAACATATGCACCAAATTCTCAGGCTTTTGACTCCCCGTCTATTTCGACTAGAAAGCAAGCTGGTAGAACATGGACATACTCGCTCATTCATCATGCCTTCCCAAGCTTTCAATATTCAACCGATCGGTCGCTTCACTGGTGAAAGCGAGCCTGTCAAGAGACCAAAGGTAGGACCTGCCTTAGCATCTGAAATGATTACATATATTTTCAACCATTTCAGTGCCATGCAACCTCAACTCGGCAACTCTACCTAACTACCGCCGTAGGAAATAACTTGCTTCTCGTACGATGACAAACATGAGTTTCACCATGACGACTCGTCCATACATTGGTATTACCCCCCAAAGTTAGGGGCAGACCTATCTCAGGGCTTTGACACATTCGACAAACATGACGACTCTGTAGACGAGCATCTAGACAGCTTGCTCAAATCTATCGCCGCACATGAGAAAGAAGAGGGCAAGAAGATCGACGCCCATCTTGTCACATGGCGTGGCATGATGACCAAGGTGAGCACCCAAATGCCGCCCTCATTGACTTTACGACGTGTCACTAACGATATCCAGATAATGGCAGCTCCTTTTGAGGACAGAGATGGGTATGTGATACTAATCTCACACATGAAAATATGAGACTTATCACAGCTTGAGAAACAGCTTCGAGATGAATGCTACTTTATACCAAGTGCGTTGATGAACGGCTACCTGATTTCTAACGATCGTTTTGCTGATACCTTTCAAGGATTGCATGTACGGGAACTCCATCGCTCACCCTCTTCTATCTTCGTGCTAACCACGATGACGCAGCTTCATCGAGGAGAACCATGCTTACAAGCAGGCCTCTAACGAGAAGCAGAAAAGAGAGCAACAAAGTCGGCGCCCTCAACCTGGCCGACCTTCACCAGAAGTTATGCAGTTTTGGGGTAAGAAGAAACAGAACACGCTGGTTATGGAATTGACGCGACTAAAGATATCTGCAGGCTACAAGTTCGAGGCGCTTTCCTGTCTGCCTCGACCCTGGGGCGAAGTTGACCGCGAGTTCATTGAAACTCGAGACCAACATATCGTCAGCAACAAAGCACAATACTGTTCCGTAGTGCGAACCGGCCTAGGTCAGACGGTCTTGTGTCTCGGCGGAGAAGTCGACGCAAGTAAGTTTTGTGTCTATCGGTGATTCCTTTCAGAAGAAACATGATGCGCGGAAACTAATCAGCACCCTTCCAGTCTGGGATTCAAAACCGGCCCAGAAAGGAGCCCCGATCAACTGGGTTGAGCTCAAGACGAGCGCTGAGATCCGCGATGAGAGGGGGATGCAGAACTTCGAGCGCAAGCTCATGAAGTTCTGGATCCAATCTTTCTTGCTGGGAGTACCCAAGATCATCGTGGGCTTTCGCTCTCAAATGGGAATCCTCACTAAACTCGAAGAGATACGCACAACATCGATACCCGAGACGGCGAAACAGCGTGGTGTGATGAGTTGGAATGCTAACATGTGTATCAACTTCGCGAGTGCGTTCTTGAGTTGTAAGTATTACGGATTGTCCGAAGTGACAACTTTGCTTTCATGAACTAACTCGAGACTTCAAGGGTTGAGAGAGGCTATCAATGATGAGGGTGTCTGGACAATCAGACGTCGACCCGGGAGCTCGACTATTGAAGTCTTCAAGGTTGAAGAGGTCGGACACGGACAGATTCTGACCGAGGAATTCATCAATTGGCGCATAAAACTCAGCTTGAGTGCCTAGTGTACTAGTAGTAGGGGAAAGAATGTCCTTCAGCGCTAGTCTCTATGATGTAATCTATGATCGTTGTCCCCATGTCTTCCTAGCTATTATCCTGTCTATCTGGAGATGTTTCGCAAGTCTTGCTCTATCTATCTTTCTGACATGCCA